ATTACTTGAAAATCAAAATCCAAGCTCAGTAAAAGTTTTGTAGGGTAACACAAGAGCCTACCACTACAGCTTTTTGGAAGAGGGATTCGAACTTAGTGTAGAGCAGAGAGCATATCTGCTCTAACTAACTTTGGCTAAGTCCATATCTACTTTGAAATTGGTATTTATTAGACTACAAACTGTTTAAATCTTAAGCCATATCTTAACAACTTGAACTTTTATTAATACTTCCATGACAAATTAATCCTGAAATTGAGGGGGAAAAAATCCTAGTCAAATGTCTAATAATATACAACAATTATGTTTCTTTCTTCACACATTCTCGATTTTGTCATATATAGATTACCACGTCATGGAGATTGGTACAACAAAATTAACATAAGAAAGAAAAAAAAACACTATTAACTTGTCATTGGTGGAGCCCTGGATAATTAGTGGTCTAGCTGGACAAAATTTTGGAAAAATTTTATATGTCAAACTATTTTGGGTTGGATATCGAGGAGGTACTCTCCTTCCATGCGCATTATAATTTGACACATATATAAAAATAAAAAAATAAAAAATTCTGCACACATGTCACATTACTATTAACAGAAATGTAAGAGTTCCTACTTATATGACAAAGAGCAAAATATTTTCTTTTTGGGTTTAAAAATGTAAACTACCATTTTATTTTTCCTGGTTTTGGATTCATCGAAGAGCTTCCAGAATGAAAACGGGTGAAAGGGATATCTTTCTTAGAGGCCCTTTTTTTAATAAAATAAGTTGGGGTGGGGGACATGACAATGAAAGGCCATGGCTTTATGCAAATATAAAAAAAGGATTTTAAAAGCTAGGTTTGAAAAAATGGGATTTCTAATGACTTAAGAAAGGATCACTTAGGTCACCATCCAAGCTGTCTTACATCAACCAAGCAATAGGCTCCATCGGATTCGGCTCATTAAGCGGCTTCTTAAGCCGCTGATCTGGTTAGTTTTAACTTAAAGTAGTAATTTTGAAAAGCTTACTGCAGCTTCTACTTAAGACTAGGAGTGTGCATGGGGAGGTTGGTTAGAACTTGTCCGTGCTTGTTCAAATTAGTTATTCAAGCTTCTATTTTTCTTTTAAACAAAAAGAAAATTATAAGAAGGAAGGATTCGCCTCGGATTCCTAAATGATTCCTAAATTCCACACATCATACTTAATTTTACAAGCCATAGAAATTGAAAATTTTGATCACTGCTTATACCATTGATCGGTTAGTTATTCCGCGACACGTGTATAACGGAACTTACCGAAGGGCCCACAGAGCTTAGTTAAAAGCACTGAACTATTTAGTTGACCATCGGTAGAGTAACCCTTCGACAACCCTACCATGTGCAGACAATTAGCAGGTGAGCCTTCAGCAACACACCTGTCGATCCAGCTCAAAGAAGGCGCATGTTTCTGGATAGAGGACATGTAGCGGCCTTTTAGGCAATGCTCAGAGTCCTACATCGAAATCCGACTCACGATGCACACCTCCCAAAGTTAATAAATAGGGCCACAAGTCCCCCAGAATGAGGTAATGGTTTCATTCGACTACTTAATCCTTACTCTGTCCAAATTGTTATTTACTCCGTTTTTGAGTTAACTTAAACATTAGAGAGCTTTTGGCGGGTACCACACTGGTAGGTCTCACTGTTTCTATTTGTCTTGCAGGTTCTCTTCATATGCTGAAGAGCCAAAGGAGCCGAAGGTGACACAATATCTCTAAGTTGGATCCAAAAGTGCTGGACTATTTTTGTGCATCAACAATAACCAAATAGATGGTTGAGATGTATGTCATAGATTTCCCTTTTTTTCTTTTTTTCTTTTTTATTTATTTAAAAAAAACAGGAAATTACAAAGAAGATCCTCAAGGGATCTTTAAACCAAACTTATCAAAATACAACAGATGTAAAACATCAGAAGGAATATGATCAATTGTTTTCCCTAAAACTAAACATATAGAGGATGCAACTTACAGGTGACGTAGGCGGTCTAAGGACCAAGTGAGCCCTTGGTGCGAGCACGTTCTTCCTTGGGACACGATGCTTAGAGCTAGGCTAAGAAGAGAAAACAACAAATGAGGTCTAGAGCACCAGTGTGGTACCAGCCGAAGACCCTCCGATGCCAAAGTAAGTTTGAGGAATAGCTTAGTTGTTTTACAAATGCTAGGGCATGAGAATCAAGCTGAAAATCTTACCCTTTGTTTAGGGCAAATGGCCCTATTTATATAGAGTATTTGGGATGCTCTTAGTACTTAGTTTTGATGTGAGACTCTTGGGAGTGCCCTCTGAGGTCTACACGAGTCCGCAAAATATCAGTGGAGGGGGGTCTCGAGTTCGTCTCACCTAATCGGCATGGCTCACCAATCGTTATGTCCGAAAAGCTTCCGGGAACGCTTGCCGATTGGCGGGGGCGACGGCTATGCTTTGTGATGAATTGGTCGCAAACGCCGATTCATACTTAACTAGTCTATTAGTGAGCCATAGTGTTTCCTAGCTTCGTACTCTTTCCGCGTGTCATGATGCGAGTGGAAGGGTCAACTGTGGTACAAACATCAACCATAGAGCATTCTTTGCCAATATGTCAGCACCTTGATTAGCTTCTCTATACAAGCCCTGGATTTCCTATAGCATTTGCTGCTAAGTTTAATTTTCGAAAAAATGTGTTCGATTCTTCGAGCTTCTCATACTTTTGAAGTTATGGCATCTTGAACGGGTTGAGAAAAAAAAATGACAGTAAACTTTCAAAACAACCATGGCCTTCAAACTCTCTAAGTCAAGACTCTTTCCACTGGGTTAGATCTCGTTGACTTTAAAACAACTATTTTAAACAAATCTAAGTTGAAAAACCATGAAATAGGTATTATTTAGATGGAACATCTTAGAAATAATTTTTCTTAGACGAAAACAGCAACAGCCTTTTTTTTCTTTTTTCTTTTTCCTAATTAAGCCTTTTGGCTAGATTAATCTTCATTATTAAGTTATGTAGGCATAGGAATTTTCTAAGTTTTAAGTTAAAAAAAAATTATTTAGAAGGGTAAATTGGATCCTTTAAAAAATAATAATAAATAAAATTGCTGGGTAAGCCCTGAACCCAGGTGTCCTATTAAATTGGTGGATCTAAATAGTCACACTCTTGATAAAATTCAAAACCATCGATTTAAATCCCGCCGGCCCTGAACCCAGGTGTCCTAGTTATTCATTGTATGTGCTTTATACTAGCTAATCATCCAAGATTAAGAGGTCAATTTATTTATTTCTATTGGAGAAGATTCCAAGAACTAACATAATAATAATAACTTGACCAAAAAAAAACATAATAATAATAATAAACAAGATCACATCTAGATTTGATCACATATATTTTTATATCTTCTGCTGAGAATTTCTATAAACATTAATCCATTTGTCGTGCATGGTATTGAATCCCATGTGCAGGCGTTTCATCTATGTCTGTTGTTGATCAGCAGCAGATAGGCAAATCTTCATTATAAAATCAATGCCATGATGCAATGCAAGCTATTAATTTTTCTTTTCTTTTAGTAATGTGCAGAAAAAAAAGGAAAGAAAAAAAACTCGCACATCGATTGGCGTCCAAAAATTAGTGTTCTAATATTTTTAATTTCAATTGGGAACCTTCGTAATATTTATTCAGGTACCGGACAAACTCATCTGAGAATATGATGGCGTCTGATCCTAGGTTTATTCTCAATGTTTTATTTTCTTTTTGTTTTCCCTTCTCTTTCTGACACACTTCATCTGGTGGCTCTTGTTTAGTATAATATGGCTAATTAATGTCAAGATTCTGAATTAGGGTTGCAGGTTGATTATTAATTATATATAATCTTAATTAGGTAAGAACAAAGAGAATAACAATTTATTTAATGGTGTTGAAGCTTGTGCCAATGGCTACGTCCTCGATGACATCCTGGGGGTGTTTGATTCTTCACGAGTTTATTCTCATAATTTTGACATTCAGAAAAATTAAAGTGCAGGTCTTACATGTACATTTGTTCATTGGGTGGAATCCTATTTATCCCACTGACAGAATCTATGTATGTAGTTTGGGTTTGCTATTGTTGTACCTAGAGGGTGTAAGTAAATTATTGATTTAAAAAAAAAAAAAAAAGGAAGAGTAGCCTGCAAATTCTGAACGAACGACATGCCCGAATCAGTTTGAAAAATTACTTTGGATATAAAAAAAATTTGTAACCAATGGTTGTAAGTGCAAATGTCGTTGTTCACGGGTTAGATTTAAATGTTGTTTTATAATTTTTGGTTATAACACTAACCACTGCAGTAACACGCCAGCTTGTGATTTAAACGTATACTAAATCTATTTAATGACTTTTAATGCTAGTCTTTATAAGTGAAAGAGTCAAAACCCTAACTGATCTCATCTTTATTCCATCTTTATAGTCTTATAGCATTTGCGTCGTTATCCTCTTTGGTGCATTTTCCCTCTCTCTCTCTCTCTCTCTCTCTCTCTCTCTCTCTCTCTCTCTCTTTTTCTCAATGGCGCTTCATTGCCTTCCTCTCTCCGTCTTTTCCTCTCCCCTCTATCTCAGTCATGCCAACCCTACTTCCTCCCTATTTTGCCGCTTAGATCTAGCATGCTTTGCTGCTTAGCAACCGCACAGCCTTGCAGAGTTCTCAAGTACTTGAAGGGAATCAAGAAGTCGATTCTCTAGTACTTGAAGGGAATCAAGAAGTTTATGATCTTGTTTGAAAGACAACAATGAATGGCATGTGTGTCGGGATATGTGGATTCAAATTATGCGAGAACCTTAGACAATATAAGATATACTACATGGTATGTCTTCACTTATGGTGGATATCCGATAGTTGGAGAGCGGTGCTATAATCAGTATGTGCCTTATTTACTACAGAAGCAAAGTATATGACGTTAATTGAGGCTTCTAAGGAAGCAATATGGCTTAAAGAATTGGCGAATGAGTTTGGGATAAGCCAAGGTACTGTGGTGGTGTGAAGTGACAGTCAAAGTGTCATATGCCTAGTCAAGAATCAAGTGTTTCATGGGAGGTCTAAGCATATCAAGGTACGCTATCATCGGATATGGGATTGGTTGAATTTCGAGGGTCGTTGCAATTTAGAAAGTTCATATAGCGAAGAATGCTTATGACTGCTTGACAAAGCCAGTCACAGCTGAATAGTTCAAATATTGTTTGAGCTTGCTCAATCTTATTGCATGCTAAAGATTGAGGTGGAGCTTTTGAGAATTATCAAGACGCTTTCCAAGAGGCATTATATAGATTTTGGGGGACGATAATTTTCACATTGTGTTTTAGGCTCGGGAAGGTGGAGATTGTTGATCTCACCTAAAGAATGTGGAAGGAATGGGGGAAACAGCCCGTCAAGAGGTTGCAGACCCAATGACTGGGTTCTGCAGCTCGAGTGATAGCAAGGCACGCTCGAGCGGCAGTTCTCAGACTCAGGCGAAAAAGAATACCCGCTCGAGCGGCAATCTCATACTCGAGTAGACACATGCACTCTAGCATACCTAAGGCGTGTGATGAGCGGCAGTCGCGTAACCAAAGTTATTCATATTACTAGCAAATTTCTTGGGGCGATCACTAAAAGGACATAGGCAAAACGCCAAACATAAATTTTTGTGTTCTCTGGTTGTTTGCTTTACTTTCGGCTGTGTATGTGCTTTCAGTGGCGGAGCTAGAAAATTTTCACATAAGGGGCACCTCATATATTGAAATATAATTTTCTTTATGGTGACAATGTAACTAATATTTTACTTGATACAAAATCCCTAATTTTTTACTCCATTATTTTTACATATTATATTAACTATCTACTCCACATCAATCATAAGAAAAAAAGAAATCAAATGAAATGTAATTTATTAAAAATACACACTAAGAAAATTTGAACAGTAATTTATTACTACAAATCGAAGTACAACAAAGTAGCAATGATAGTGAGAAAAAGGAAAATTGGAAAAATACAAAGAGAGAAATACATGGGCACTTCAAAATTTGGTTAGAAAAGTATGATTATATTAATAATACAATAGCCTAAAATAAAATTTGAGAGGGGGCACATGCCCACACTAGGCCTTAGCTCCCTCGGCCACTGTGTACTTCTACTCTTAAGTGATTTATATGTGTGCTCGTTTAGGGACGGACCTAGGATTTCAAAATGACGTGGGCTAAAATTACTTTACATACAAACCTATTGAAAACTCAACGGTACGAGTAAATTTCATTGATAACAAAAAAATGCACGAAAGACATTATGAGTCTTACCCCTCAAATAACACTTATATAAGTTGCGCCATTCAAGTCTTCACAGCATTAAAATCACTAATTATTGATTCATTATCCATATTATCAGCAAATTCTCTTTCAATATGAAGTAGCATACAATTAGCAAGAAACTCATCACCTATCTTATTCCAAAGTCGATTTTTAATAAGTCTCATACATGAAAATGCTCATCCTGTTGTTGTTGTAGACATAGGAAGAGTTAGCACCAAACGAATCAATCTATCAAATAAGTAGAATGTTTATGCTAATTTTGTTCTTTTTATTTATTTGTTGGTCCGCCTAGTCCTAATAGGATTAGTTAATAATATTTTATTTAGGTGGTTAGCCTAGTCCTAATAGGATTAATTAATAATATTTTATTAGTATATTTAGGTGACTTAGGCTAGAATATTAATTTAGTCTATAAGAAAACAAGCTGCCTGGGCTTTAGCCCAAGTTAGCATGTTAGTAGGTACGTGCCTGTACTCGTTGCGTAGTCCATCAACGACATCATCTTAAATTGTTTCCACACAGAAAGACCCCTCAAGATGGAACGGTAACTATCAAAGGTCCTTCGCTACTGAAGTTGAATTTGAGTTGACTTGAGTTGTTTTACCGTAAGAAAAATTGTCACTCCTACGTTTTCTTTCGTTTTTTAATCCACTCCTATATTTTCTTTCCTGAGCTGATGATTTTGAGCTTGAGCTGTGAGGATGGTGTTCAAAAAAGGACAGCTTTGGGCTAGGACCCACATAGAAAGTTGCTATTTTCCAATGGGGCCCACGTGTGGACCAGACCCAAGAGACTGTACATGAGAACTGTAACAAGTTCTGTGTCCACAAGACAAGTAAAGTTGAGCGCGTGCACACACACACCCATGGGCCATGGCCTACGTAGGAAGAAAGAATGGATGGGGCCTGTAAACTCACATGGTTGGTGGGTAGTAGTGAGGGCCCCATGTCCACAGGGGCCCACCAGCACTCACGGATCACGTCACATCAAAACAGCAACATTAACATCTCGTCGTGCGTCGCAGAGCATACCAAAAAACAAGAACAAATAAATTTAGAAAACAAAACAATGTTTTTGAATTCATCCAATGGCTTCTTTCTCCAGCTTTCAGCATTCTAATTTTTTCGTTTTTATCGAAGAAGAAAATAATAATAATCACTATTATTTCCGCACGCATTTCTCCGCCTGCGATAAGCTTTTTTAAAAAAATTTAAATTTATTTTAGAATTAAAAAAAATAATGAGTAGTTGTATTCTATAAAAATAAGATCAATTATCTTATTTTTCTTTTAATTTTATATATTTTTAATATGAAAAAGTATGAATTTATCATATTATCTTTATTTAATTAATAATTTCAAATTTTAATATACAAATTTATAAATAAACCAAATCCTAAACATGTATTTATAAAAAAACTCAAGCACTACTTAAACATAGAAACACACCCAAAATCAACCCCAAAATAAACAATTGTATATTTTTTGGGTGTGTTTATAAATGAGTTTTGAGTGTGCGTAATTATGGATTTTGGGTGTGTTTATAAAGTGTTTTGGGTGTTGGGTTTTTTTATAATTTCAGCCCTCATTTTGGGTGTTTTAGTGAAACTCCCTTTTTAATATTTACATTCATAAATGACATTTTCTAGTATTTTGAATGTTTTACTATTCTTTCTTTTGTATTTTGCTTTATATATATAAATAAATGAAATTAAGTTAAATATAAATAATATTTTGTTTTCTTGTGTCTTATTCATATGGTGTCAGTCAGAGGGACCCACAGAACACTGTTTCTGACATTTGCTTTATTTGGTTGAGAATTGAGAGAGAGACATTAGGGGACGGGAAATCAGAGAGCCGGGCCCCACTTTCAGACTCACTCAAGTCTTTTGCTTCTTGTGGGTTGTGGGGGCCCACTTACAACGTCAGCCATCTTTGACTATGTGGCCTCTCTCTCCTCCACCTCCTGCTGAGAGAATCCTGAGTGCTGGCCTCTTCTCTTCCCTTCTCTTCTCTTTTCATTTGTTTTCGCTTTCAGCACAGATCCCGAGAAGCATCTCATCTGATCAGATCTAGGTTTCTGCGCGCCTTGTTGGGGTTATGGGGTTCATACAAGTTGCTTTGGCCCATTGGACATGCATCATGTTCCTGATGTGAGTTATCTATCAACCAGAAAATTAAACAAAACTAAACTCTTCTCACATGCTTCTCTACTTACGAGAGATTTTATTAAATAAAAACTTTAAATTTATTTTAGAATTAAAAAAAATAATGAATAGTTGTGTTCTATAAAAAGAAGATTCATTATCTGATTTTTTTTAATATGAAAAAGTGAGAATTTTATCATATTATTCTTATTTAATTATTAATATTTGAATTAACCTAAGGTATTTTCTGATATTTTGAATATTTTATTATTCTCTGTCTTTTGCTTTATATATATTGATAAAATATTTTGTGTTATTAATAATTTATTTTTAAAAATAAACTTTTTTTCTGAATTTATTTCACAAATTGGAAGCCCACTAAAAATGATGGGTTTTGGCTCAAAGGCTAAGCCAAGCCGGAAAGCCGGCCCATCAGCTAGGAAGAAAAAGGCTCCTCTCCAATTTGCAAGTCTTCCCAGTTGCTTTAACTGGACATGTCAACCGTGGGATCGCTGCCACAAAAATGGGTAATGCCACAGTGCCATTAATTACCCGAAGGATTTCTGATCTCACCAATGCATTGGCCCTAGACATTTAGGGACACCTTACATTATAGAGTCATTTTCTAGTTTTTGTAGACATCTTCCACTTTTCTAATTAATATAGTGTGCGTGACCACAACATGAGTATCTATTATCTATACCACCTATGCTTGAGATATATGTGAGGCTCAACGGCCATACATGCTTCATGTCATTTAATATGTTGTCTATGTGTTAGGCATGAAAGTTTGCCGTATATGAGGGGGCGTGTGAGGATGTGAAGAAATGTCTCCAATTGGAAAGTTAAGAGACCTAACACGTGCCATTAGATACTATTGACCGCTGCTAATTGATTATGGGTGAAATCTCAACTTCCTTTTTTTTTGTTCCTGCAAATTTCTGAAATTCTATTGTCGGCCATTGAATGTCGGAAACTGTGTGGCCACATGACTGAATTACACATTGCAAGTTTTGATAGGTACAAAAGGGATGTTGATGTTCTTGAGGTTGAGGTGGGTTTTTGTGGTGTGGTAGGTTATGTGCACATGTAGAAATTAATAAGGTGTTCTTTCAGTCAAACGATCAAACCCAAGTGTCATGTAACTAGTGCCCACCCAGCACCGTCCCCCCTAATAAGGGGGCTTTCAGTCTTATTTTCAGTCCCCCGTACTAATTGCATTGCTGTTTGTTTGTACATCAAGACTCAACAGTCCATATCTTATCTGACTGACCTAATGAATTTGCAACTTTAATTTGGTATATCGATCTGACGAGAGAGAGAGAGATGGGGGGTTGAAGTTGTGGGACAATATACAATAGAGAATTGGAGCTGAATTCCATTAGCTTAATTATAATTTGCTTTATGCTAACTTCTTGTTTTGTTTTGGTGGGCTAATTAGAATCGTTCTAACATTCAAATATGTAAAAGTTGAAGAGAGCTACATTTCTTGGGGTTGAAGCTATTTGTTTCAGAGCAACGACCTCCCGCAAAAGAGGTTCATGTGTATTTCTTCAGTAGGGGAGATTTTATGATGGTCAAATTCAGCAGTACACTCTATTGTTTGCTTTTGTTTGTGCGTGGACATGTGGAAAGGGCCCAAGCCGTTGCTTGCATTAACGGCTCTCTCCATCATTTTGTATCTATTTCATTAGGTTTAACTCAAGATAATCTTTAATAATTAGAATATGATAAATGGACTATTTTACTTTTGGGCTAGCTCAATTAGGTCTATACTTTTGTTGGTTATAGGTCAATGAGTAAGCCCATGTGTTATGGGCCTGCATGATATGGGAGTTACATTTACATTACACGAAGTAGCACCTAACCAACCAAGCTAGGCTTTACTTACTACTTATCGTGAGTTTTTCTATTATTTATATTATATGGGGTGTTACTTGGATTGACTCAGGTATTCGGTGTGCTTCTAAGTGGTCCTAGGTGCCTCTATGGTATCTGTGTGTGCAGTGACGGGGCCATAATTTCATATGTATGTGGGGACCTCTTAGAAATTATATAATAAAAAAATCGATGTCACAATTCATTTCTAAGTAACCAAAAAGACCAAACCATCATACATAATACATATATAAAGAAATCTATACAATTTTTTTCTTTTGGTAATTGACACATAAATTGAAATGCCCATTAAACTTAATAAATAATAAATCGAATTTTCACAAATCCTAACAAACCATAGGCAAAGAAAAAGAAAGTAGCATTTAATTTGTCAATATAATTGTAAAATAATAAACATCGATATAATAGTAACTAAACTTAAAATTACCAATATAAGAGTAACATAAAAATACCAACCCATATAGACATTGTATTGCAATTTCGATTCTATAAACCTAAAATTACCAATATAATAGCAACATTTTATACACACTATGTTGCAGTTTCTATTATATGAGTCTTAATTATACAGATATAAGAGTAACATAAAAATACACAGTGAGTTTTAGTTTCTATTCTATAAACCTAAAAAATACCAATATAAGAGTAACATAAAAATAGACAATATGTTGCAACTTCTATTCTATAAACATAAAAAAGACCAATATAAGAGTAACATATACACACTATGTTGCAGTTTCTATTCTAAAAACCTTAAAAAACTAATATACGGGTAACATAAAGATATACACTGTATCACAATTTCTAATCTATAAACCTACGCCAACGTGATTGTTGTACATGGTTTTATTTGTTTGAAATTAATTTTTGTTGTGGTTTAAAATACCGATGAGACTCATAAACAAATGACAATAATGACGATATTTGTGTGTTTCCAAAGCCAAATAATAAAACACAATCAAGTCACAAACTTAAGAAAAATTGTGATTGTCGCGCATTGTTAGCTTTGTATGTGTATGTGTGTGTGTATATATATATATATTGTTTTTAAGGGTTTCAAACTTGTAAATTTTATAAAATTAAATAGACCTATTAACCCTCTACTTTTAATTTAAATATTATTCAACTTAGTAAATATCTCAAAAATAAGGATTTCTATTGCACAAGGTTTTACTATGAGTTATGTTTTACCTCTCAATCATATCATGGGATGGGCTTTTCAAGGGTCCAAATTCCCACAATATCTTGGGCTTCATATTATCGGAAAGAGTGCTACTATTTCCATCCATATGTCATATTTTCCCACCCACCTTATAAACAAAGTTTTAAAGATAAATTTACCCATTTGTAAAATTACTTTTAAGGACTTGGGGGAAAAAAACCTCAAACTCTCCTTAAAATAAAATAAAATAAAATAATAAAATAAGATTTTCTTTATGAAAACAAATTCTCTCTCCCTATGTCTCCTCCTCCCGAGCCACCCCCAACCCATCTTTGGAATCTCTACAGCCCCCTAAACAACCCTAGCCACCATTCCCTTGCAGCACTTATTTACAACTCTTGTTCAATAGACTAGGAAACATTTAAGATTGTTGGGGCTTTTGGTATCTGAACCAAATCTTGAAGGAAAGCTTAAGATGATGTTGCCGCCATGCAAGCTTGAAACTTTACTCGATTCTTAAACAAGACCAAGTCAGGGCACACATAAATATAACAAGTAGTAAAAGAAAGAAATTTTCATTTTTCTCTTTTCCTTCATGAAGAAAAAATTTCCCACAATTTGAATTTTTTGAGAAAAATTGAAGCTCACTCTTCCAGAATCCAAATTCCTAAGAGGAGGAAGACAATGGAGGCTCTGGTTTGCAGAAAATTGGAGGACCCAACAATACCCATTTCAAAAGGAGCAGAGACAGCAATAGTTATAGAGAATAGTTATCTAATGCGTGTAAAGAGATGGAATTATAGAGGCTGAACGGGGTGGGGGAGGGAATGATGGCTAGGGTTGAGGGCTTTAGGGGTTGGGGTAGGTCGGGAAGGTGGGGAGAGAAGGAGAGAGACTTGTTTATATTTTATTTCTCTGTTATTTATTATTAATACTTTACTTTATTTTGGTTGAATTAATAATTATATGGCATTTTAGGAATAATGGTGGGTGGAAAAATAGGACTGTATTTTTTCAAATTTACATGGTGGGTGGGAAGATAAGGTGAGTGAGAAAATAAGACAGAGGAGTGGAAATAGCACTTGTTTTTTTTTTTTTTTTTTTTTATCAAGAGTAAGAAACTTTCATTCCAACCAACAACCATACAATTTGCAATCAAAGCATGGATGCAACAAGAGGTGGCCTCATTAAAACCTTACCATAAAAACCTCCAAAGGAGAAAATCCGATCAAGGAAAAAGAGTGCCACAGCATCCGAAACCGAAAACCCAAACAACTACCCACCCTCCATGTCTATTACCAACAGTGAAACAAGCCAGTCAAGAGCAAGACCAGCCCAGAACGAATGATGCTGTTCTCGTAGCCCAAACTGTGCCAAAGAGTGAGCTACCCGATTACCCGAACGCGGCTGAAAAATAACATCATTAACACACAGTTCTGCTAGCAACCTTCTAATGTCATCCATAATATTACCCAAATTACTCCAGAGCTCTCCACTTCCTTTCAGCAAAACCACAACTTCCTGCGTATCTGATGCTACCAAAAAATCAGAGACTCCCAACTCAGCAGCCTTCAATAATCCCATGTGTAAAGCAGCACATTCAGTAGCCAAAACGTCCAAACCTGCTGGGCCTTGATCGGCAAACCCCCAAATAAAGTTACCTGCGGAGTCTCTTAAGACACCACCCACCCCTCTATTACAACCAGCTTGTCTAGTCACCCCATCACAATTCAATAATAAAGAAGAAGAGGGAGGTTTAATCCATCTAATAAATCGCGGCACCCTTGCTGGCTCGGTGCGGGTATTATGTATTTTAAACTGCTCCAAAAACTCCATGGTCCACTCTATCATCTTAGGGAGCCCATCAATGGTCTTTCCATAGAACACCTCATTACGAAGCTTCCAAACTCTCCAGCAACAACACACAAAACGTTCTAAGTCACCATCTGACATAGTAAGGAACATAACCTCCAAAAAATCAGCAAAAGAGCCTTGTCGGACCGCCGAATCAATGTTGAAGGAAGTTAGTGCCCAAAACCGTATGCTGCGTTTACAGCCCCAAAAAGCATGGATAACATCCTCCGTCGCCGTCCTACAACCAGAACAATAAGCAGAAACTAATACCTTCCTCTGAACCAGGTTTAATGCTGTAGGCAAAATATTTAAACTTGCCCTCCAAAGCAGGATTTTAACCTTATTTGGGACTTCCAAGTGCCAAAGTTTTTTTCCAAAAAGCGCGCTGAGTTCCAGAGTTAGAACCTCCAAACTCCCCATTGACCTCTCTATCACAAAGTCTTAAAGCAAGGCGGTAGCCAGTCTTCACCGAATATTTACCATTTTTTGAAAAAAACCAAAAGTAAGTATCTTCAAGAGATCCCACTGATGGCAAAGGAATACTCAAAATTGCCGAACAGTCTTCGTCACAAAAAGAATGATCCAGGAGAGTCCTATTCCACCTACCCGACGCCGTAATTAGATCAGAAACTTTGGCCTCTAGAGAAAGACCTCTATTCATAAGGGGCGAAAAGGTATAAGGTTTTGGAATCCATTTATCATAAAAAAAACTCTCACAGAAGTCCCACCACCAATGCGCCAAATAAGGCCCTGTTCAATAACTTATCTACCCCACAGAATTGAACGCCAGATTAAAGACGGCGACTACCCATACCTAGCTGTAAGAAAATCACCATTTGGAAAATAACGAGCTCGAAGGATTCGGCCAACCAAAGAGGAAGGGTTCTTTAACAGCCGCCATGTTTGTTTGGTTACCATGGCCTGGTTAAAAGCCTCAAAATTTTTTAACCCCAGTCTTCCTAAGAATTTTGGCCGACACAAATTCCGCCAACTTTTCCAATGTATGCTCCGTTTACCTGACTTCCCCACCAAAATCTCGCCACCATTGTTGATAATTCCTGACATAAACTTTTTGGCAGTTGAAACACCCCCATTGTGTATGTTGGGAGCACCTGAGCCACTGCTTTAATAAGAACTTCTTTCTCTGCCGTTGACAACAGTTTAGCATTCCACATATGAAGCTTGTTCCACAACATATCCCTCACATAATTAAACAAGCGATGTTTACTCTGTCCAGTAATAGTAGGTAACCCTAGATAGCGTGTATGACAATCCACAATACGTATTCCCAACATGGATGAAATAAGACACTTCATGATTGGATCTGTTTTACGACTAAAGCTCGCTGCAGACTTCGCAAAATTAAATTTTTGGCCTGACGCACGCTCGTAAACTCTGAGAAGAAGCATCAAATTATAACAGTCAGATAAATGGGCATTGCAGAATAATAAACTATCATCCGCAAAAAATAAATGAGACAACGTAGGAGCGCCTTGGGCCACTACAACACTACGAATTTGCTTAGCACTTTGAGCCTGAGACAACAAAGCTGAAAGACCTTCTGCACAAATGAGAAAGAGATAAGGTAAAAGAGGATCCCCTTGTCTTAATCCCTTAGAAGGAGTAATGAAACCCATTGCCGCCCCCCGCACTTTCACCGAGAAGGATACAGTAGAAATACAATCCATAATTAAATCCACCCATCTGTTATTGAACCCCAATTTCCTCATCATACAGCTCAGAAAATTCCATTCCACTCTATCGTAGGCTTTTGACATATCAAGCTTTAATATCAATTTTTTCAGAGCACTTCCCCCCTTCTTTGGATGGCGTGAATGTTTTCGAATGCCGCAACAATGTTGTCAGTAATCAACCGAGAAGGAACAAAGGCACTTTGGTACTCTGAGATGACATCCTGCATAATACCCTTCATTCTGTTCACCAGTGTTTTTGATATCAATTTATAGAGAACCAAGCATAGACTTATTGGCCGGTACTCAGTAACTCGTGTGGGATTGTCCACCTTTGGGATAAGAGTAATAAGAGTATGGTTGATCTCTCGTACACTAGCCCCGCCATTTAACACATTTAGGCAAAAACTCACCACATCATTTCCAATTACATGCCAGTACCGCTGGTAAAACAAAGTTGACATCCCATCAAGACCTGGAGATTTAGTGGGAAACATTTTTTAGAGCACATCCTCCAATTCGACTCTAGTAAAAGGCTGGCTCAATCTTTCATTGTGTTCACTGGTCACTTTAGGTTGCACTGCAGCCAATACAATGCTAAAATCATTCTCACCACTAGTGGTGAATAGCTTCTTGAAATACTCACAAAAAATAGAGCCAACGCCTTCATTGGAAGTATTCCACACATTATGCTCATTCAAAATACCTTGCATGAAATTTCTTCGTCCCCTTTGTTTGGCTTGTGCGTGAAACAATTTTGTATTCCGGTCCCCATATTTAAGCCAAGAGACTTGAGACCTTTGTTGCCAGATCATCTCCTCCTTCGCAAGTAGTATATCCAACTCACTAGCCAGCCTGCGTTGACACTGCACCACATCATCTGTTTGCGGTTTCTTTTTGAATCCGTCAAGTTGCCCTTGAATCTGTCATATCTGCATGGGAATATGGCCCACCTTGGATTTATTCCAATCCAATAAGGACTGTTGGCAAGCTTTTAACTTAGTAACCACATCACCTTGTCCCTCTCCCCAAGCTTGAACAACTGTCTCCGTTCACCCATCAACTTCAGTCCACATTTCTTCAAACATAAATCTTCGAGCCCACCCCACCGAATCTGAGCCCCCAAAATGTATAAAAACAGGAAGATGGTCTGAAACCAAAGAGTTCACATGATGTACTATCGCCCCCGGAAAAGCTTGAAAAAACGTAGCATTCGCCACTCCCCTGTCGAACCGAAGTTGGACTCTGTCATCCCCATTTCGATTGTTTGTCCAAGTAAACTTGTAACCCTTATACTTCATTGATGTCAAACCACAATCCTCAAGAGCCACGCAAAAATCCCGCATTTGTGACGCTGGTCTATAACGTCTACCCAAATACTCATTAAGCTCCAGTACTTCATTAAAATAACCTCCCACTACCCATGGACCAGAATATCCATCTGCCAAATGACATAACAATTCCCAAGAGTGTTTCCGCGATGCGAGTTTTGGGTTACCATAGAAACTTGTAAAACGGAAACAAGTTTGTGCCACACCTTCAATCATAACATCAATATGCCCTGACGAAAAAGAACGAATAGAAACCTTCACCCCGTGCTGCCACAATAACACCAATCCACCAGCACGACCATTTCAACTCACACTAAAATGACCCATTCCTCCTAGCTGTGCGCTAACCCCTGCCATTTGTTGTATCGTCTTCTTGGTTTCTGATAAGAAGATGACACTGGGCTTTTTGTCTCTGAGTAAGTACCTCAGAGCACGAAATGTTCGTGGATTACCCAGACCACGAACATTCCAGCATAATATTGTCATTTCTCGTGATGGGCCCATTCACCGGAACCCATCACGGATTTGCCAGTAGAACCAGTGGTCTTTCGCAAACTCACATCCTCCACACTTTCCAATGCACTAGGTTTTGGGAGACTGCCCCGACCACGCTGACCCCCAACCTTGACACCCTTTCTCTTACCCACAGCAACCTACCCGTTGGAACCAGACATCAAGGAGGATTTAGGACCACCCCCCCCTCATTCTCTATAAGAACCGAAGGAAAACTCCCTCCACAGTGCAACCCTTTAAGGCTAGAGCTACCAAAGTCAAAACAAGTCGTTACCGAAACTTCACAAAACTGTTGATCTGCGTGGGGCTTAGGTTTTGGAATATTCTGATCATCAGCTTCTTTTCCCATAAATCTGCATTTCTTTGAGACCCCCAACTCCCAACAAAAACGTTGTCTCATGCTCCTCTTCCATTGACGTCACCCCACCTTCAGAGGCCCCGAAAGCTTTCCTAAATGACCGAACCACACCAGACAATGGCTCCCTTTGAGGTTTTTCTTGAGCTTGTAGCCGGCTACAAGGTCCCAGTCCAAACACTTTACACTTAAGGCCACTGACCACCCTGATATTAAAAACATCCTTTATCTGTGTTTTCCATTGTCCATATTGCTTCGTAACAACTTCACCTGACATTTTCAAAGCACAACTCAACCGAACATGATCAAGTCGGCCACAAAACAAACAAATATAGGGTAAGCGTTCATATTCGATGTCATATTGCTTTGCCGGTTCGTCCGGATTCAACCGTAGAGTGATACATCGCTTTAACGGTGCATTGATCGCACACATAGAAAACTCCCTAAGCAATCCCCATTCATCCCTTTATCAATCGCCACAAATCTGCCAATATAATTACCAATATTTTCACCCAAAGCCGGAGTTAAGAAAATTGGTGGGATACGTCTGATTCGAACCCAGAAGTTTTGTATCTCCAACGGGACTGTCATGGGATCCACGTTGCCATCAGTGAATGCCAAAACCAAAAGGGATCGGTCAAAAGTCCATGGAGCACCCTTCATTACTTTGCTTCGATCGTAATCATTCTGGAAAGAGAAAAGCATACAGTAAGGGTCATCAAGAGGCACGACTGTAAACCTTTCACGCGTATGCCAAATCGACTTTATGGTCCCAACCAAGGAATCCTGATGAAAGGCCTTTGGCGTGAGCAAATGACCCACCAGCAAGAACCGCTCGACTCGCAAACTGTCTAGATCTTCCAAACTCACAATCTCAATGGCCTCCTCTTCTGAAATCACCAAGGCATTAGAGAAGCCTTGCGCAATCTCATCTACAGAATCCATCAATGTTATTAAGGAACTCGCACACACCACAGAAAACTGATACCACACTTCCCCAAGTACTTGCAGACCGTCGAACCAGTCCCACATAGACTAGGAGAGCAAGAAGGAAGCTTGTCGTAGCGTGGAAGCAAAGACGGCTCACAAAAACCCTAACCTGTTTTACAAAACCCTAACCTAGAGTGGAAGGGACCCAGAAGAGAGTTGTGTATCCTTAACGTAGCACTCTATTAGAAATGCTATAATGAGAAGGGGGTTCAATATGAAGTTTCATCCCACCATCCAACAAGAGAGAGAAAGTGTTGGAGTTCAAACTTTTTAAATGAATGAATGGTGCGATGGAACCCCACATTAAAACCCCTCACCAAAATCCCCCTCATTATAGAAGCTTCCTCGTTTTATTGTCTTTAAGAATTTTAATCCCTTCATATGAAAAAAGTGTTAAATAATAATAATAATAATAATAATAATAATAATAAAGGAAATATTATTGACACACTATAAAAGTCATTGTGTATGTACTCTTCTCTGAAAATAATTAAGCAAAGAATTTGGCTTTAAAACTCATTTGTGTATGTCTGCATCAGAATCACACCTATTATTATATATTTTCCTACACTCGTGAATACCAATTTGACATTATTTATGAATCAAAGTTGGCAGGCTCGGTTTAATAAGAAAACAACCACATCATAGAAACTTAGAGAGTGATGTCTCATGTCATGCGCGTCTAATTTAATTTCTGAGTAACATTTCAACCATAAGACTGCCCAACAAATTCTTTAAATTTTTAGTCTCTTGACAAAGTGCTTCCATGCATGTCATTTTCCTATTTCTTTTATTTTCTAATTCCCTTTTTTTTTATTGTCAAGTACATGAATGATGGATTTGTAGGCGAAGAATCTGATAACTTCAAAACATTTGGGTTGCGTTTATTTATTTATTTGAAAAAGACATTCATTATTTAAATCGTGAGTCAAAATTCAAAACCATGCATTTCATGCTAAAATGACATGAAAGCGTTAAAAGTCACCTCTTATTTAATTAAACAAGAGGACAAAGACCGGGTTATTCCAATCATTTTTTGATACAAGCGATATTGAAAGATGATTCAAGAAACTCGGATACATGGCTTTCTTTCGGCCATTTTTATTCTTTTACCATGACTGAATCAACCTGGCCCAATCCATGGATGCCGTTGATCCTGATCTGGTTGGTGTTTGAAGTAGTTGGAATAGGATTTGCCCATACGCCACGTGGCCTCATATCTTATTCTCCTATGCAATTTCCATTTTCCCACCAACAACCGAACGAATGTGCAGCTACGCCTCCTCAATGTGCACGCAAAAACGAATTCCATTATTTATTTATTTTTGGCACGTGGCTCGAGAGAAGAAGCGTGCATTCTCTTTCACGTGCACCGCCGCCCCACAATTAAAACGCCCACCACACGGTTGGTTGTTTGTTTATATGATCTATCTTGCCCACGGACACGTAGCAGCCAATCACGGCAGATATAGTCTTGACTCTTGCGAACTGGTATTCTATTCCAGCCAAAAATGGGTCCCACGTTTTTGTATTTATTGGCATCACGACCGTCCATCTGTCCTCACGCAACAACCAACAGTACATTATTGAATTTCCCATTGTACCACAATTATAAAAAAAAACAGAATTATTTCATTTGATGGGTTGTGACGATTTAGGATCACAGCCCAACCAGTACCTTGGATTAATAGAATTAGTTGCTCTTTTTGTACTAGTCATTCTTCATCACATATGCATTGTAGTTTCACATGTGTTCTTTAGCAAGGCTGCGTTTAGTTTGCGGAAAGATATTTATGGGAATTTAGTTTCGTGTCTTTTCTAAGGGAAAGATTCATTTCTCATGAATTGGAACTGAAGCTTGATGGAGGATTTCATTTCCGGCCTCATTTTTTCATGAAGCATGGACTATTTTTTTCAAACTTGAACTTACCAAACATAAGAAACAAAATGATTTTTCAATTCCAAGCTTCTTTTACCGTGAACCAAACGCTTTCGAAGAAATAACGACTCCCTCGTAGCAAGTAAAAAGTCAAGTAGTGTTGTTGTCATGAAAATAGTTCCCACGTGTGGGCTGTGATATTGATGACAGCACCTAGCTGTAATGGTAGAGCGGAGAGCCGAGTCGTAATTAAAATGAACCTTCGTAGGAAAAGTCTATGTGCGTGTGTGCGTCTTCTCTTGATGTAAACAAACCAATGAAGTAACCAGTAAGCAACCAAATCCTCTCTCTCTCTCTCTCTCTCTCTCTATATATATATATATATATACATATATATATATAAGCTCACAGAAGCTCAAATCAAGCGGCAAATTCATAAGAAATATATTCAGAGAAAAAGAAAAGATGGGTTGGTCTGAATCAGGGAGAGGATGCAAGAAGCACCAGCTGTTTGGAGGCGACGACATGATGATGAAGCAATATTCATCGCCAGGTGTTTGTTCATCTTGTCTTAGTGAGAGGCTCTCTGAGCTCTATGCCCCCTCCTCAACTTTCTTCAGTGAGAGACTTGCTCGTACTGTTTCTTCTCCCCGTAATCAATCTAATTCCTCGTCTTCTTCTGTTTCCTCCTCCGCGGGCTCTCCTCCTGTTAAAAATTATTATTATTCTACAAGCTTCAGCGGCCGAGGCCCTCAGCGTCATCATCGGCGTCATGCTTCGGAAATATTGGGTTCGGTTTCTTTCATGACAAGGAGTAGCACGAGTACTGGTGGTGGGTATGGCCGCGGCGGCCATGATGATTATGATGATGGGGTGATGAAGAAGAGCAGATCGGTTGTTTCGAAGACAAATCATCATCGTTTCGGAGATCAGAAGGCTAGTAGTGGTGGTGGGAAGCAGAAGAAGAAAAAAAGAGGGTTTTGGTCGAAGCTGCTTCGGACAACGGGGAGCAAAACCAAGGAGGTTTTGAAGCACTAAAAGAGTAGTCTAGGATAAATATTTTTATTTATTATTTTGTATCTCTTTCTGTACCACAAGTAACAAGTTAGGATGTGAAGTTTGTAATTTGATTATGCAATCAATCGTGATAAGGTCTTGCTTGTTCATGTTAATCAAACAATTAGCGTTTTTTTCTATGGGAGGTGGACTAACTAATTGCTGGTTATGGATTGATTTGAGTTTATGCCAAAATTTAATCCATATTGGATGCCAAATTCAAATGTTGCATAAAAGAAATTTTGCAGAACATTTGTGATGATATAGTGTTTTACAAGTTAGACTGCAGTTGACATCCTTACCCTTTTTTGCCTCGTTGCATCAAAATTTCTTCCAAGTTTCACAACAATTGTGATTGGGAAATGTGACAGTTTGACTTGAAAGGGCCTTTGTGGTTGACCACGTGCATGACATGTTTTGATATATTATTCTTTGGTCTCATCCAGTTAATTGATTTGAATTGATATGGAAGTTGCATGGCTTGAATTGTTTTCATATGATTTGCTTCTTTTACCAAAATTTCAAAGAAACTGTTGAAGCTCCTCTGTTAGGTCAACTGTTAAACGTGGTCTTTATAATTTGTTTGGCTAAAATAGATCCAGTTCTTTTTACCTGATCAAATAGGTCTGTTTTTTTTAACTCTTCCCTTAAAATAATCATCGTCACTGGGTGAAGCATTCTTAACAGATATCATCACAAGCAGCTCTATGAAAGAATGTCAAAGAAAGAATCGCATGTCAAATGAAAATGAGTTGAATCTGGATCGGGTAATTTTTTGAGAGTCGACCACTAGGTTACATTGCAGAGGAGAAACAAAATGGTGACATTCTTTTACAAATACACGTATAATTCAAATACAACATGAGTCCCCACTCACTTTTTTTTTTTTTTTTTTTTTTTTTTTTTTTTAACTGAAATTTTCCTATCTTTCCTGTCAAATACTGAAAATGTAGTTTCAGTATCGCAAAATATCTTCCCAGGCTGGACTAATCTTTGCGGTCAAAATCGTAGCAAGCAAATGGTATCAGCCCTCACCACATGAGCTATACATTTTATGGGCTTAATATTCCCAATTCTAGAATGGTAACAAGTTCATTACCTAAAACAGATTATAAACATTATCTGCTAGGACCAGACTTTCCCTCCCTGTCATCTTCATCCTCGTCAACATAGCTCACATGATCTACAGATGGCCGTTTCAATCTCTGAAATATCTCGTCGAGGGACTCATTAGAAGAAGCACGAGATAGGTCTATAGTATCTTGAACTTGGCGTATGGGAATAAATTTTTTGGCTGCTATGTTTGCCTTGAAATTTTGGAAACCATTTTTCATTGATTCCCACTTTGAGGACAAGCCAGTAGGTGACCCTCCTGATGTGTTATCAGGGTTAGAGTTGTCTCCATCAAGCAAGGAGACCTTGGCAGCAGAAATATTCTTCTCCACTGGATTTGTGTTGAAAGAAGCTTGTCTGCTCTGTTCTCTAATGGCAGCATACTTGTTGCTGATGGCTTCTTTACTTGAGCTATATCTGCGATCTTCTTTCGAAGATTTTGAGGGAGTTCCATTTGCCCCCTCAGCGCTTAGACTGCTTGTTGCTTTCATTTCAACAAGAGTCCTATCCTGAAAATTCCACCATTATTAGGAAATGATCTATTATCCAATATACCAGCAGAGCATGAAGAAGAAAAAAGACAAAACAAAAAAAAACTAACTAGAAAAGAAAATCACAGATTAGGATGAATACAGTATGCCAGATAATTTATTCAGTAAATCTAAGCAGTATGCTAAATGTTAGTGTACCATGTTGCTGCTGCCAGTCTCAACATCCGTGCTGTTGAAATTCCTAGCTAATGGGATAACATGTTCACCGACTTTGAGACCTTGTTCAATCCAAGATCGCTCTGAAAAAAACAGGACAATTAAGTTCAAGCACGCCTCTTTATTTATACGCGCTCACAAAACCTGTGGTTTTGAAATTTGTAATAAAAAAGAGAATGTAAAGGATCTGTGATATTCACAGATGGCCCGTGCCAAGTGAATAGTAGTAGTCTAAGCCTTCTAAAAAGAGAAGATCACGAAATATGCCTACCCTTTTGTAAGATAATTAACCCAGACGGATCAAAACCATCCATATCGTCAGCCTCAGTTTGAAATCTAAATCGTTTCCATCTCCCAAAAAAATTAATTATGCGGTCAAAAAAGTTGCAAGCAACCAACAGGGTGTACACAACCATGATAAGTGGATAGATTCTGTTAAACTCACTCCCAAAGAAAGGGACAGCTTGATCAATGTTTCCCATTCGCTGCAATTCACATTTACAAAGGTAAAATAGTCAAAATCATTAACTAGAGGGAGGAGGGAAGTTCTACAGTTAAACATACCAGCCAAAACTAAGAACAGAAAACAATAATATTAGATTATATGAAATGCCAAACCCAAAAACTACACTGGGAAAAAAAAGACATTATAGCAATGTTTGAAAAGGAATTTACAGTTAATGAGAAAACTTTTTTTTTTCCGTCAATAATCTACAATTGATGAGAAAAACCCAAAACGGGAAAAGAAAGGGAAAAAAAAGAAGAAAAGATTTTACTGAAGAAAGTTAGAAAAATCATCACTTGTAAAACAAGCAAATCCGCATGCTACCCAAGATTAATTTTCTTTTTGGTTACCGTTGCCCAAGAGTATTTAGATTTATACTAAAATCATGAAGAAAAAAATTGTTTGAAAAGCTTTTAAATTGGCTTCCGCTACAAGAATCCCATGTAACTATAAATAGAAAGACCTATTAACACATTCCATTTTACTTTCAGCTAGGGCAAGACATAGATCAGTAAGAGGACAGATGAGATGGATGAGATAAATACCTTTTCAAATATAGTTTTATGTTCACCGAGACGAATGAGATTGAGAAAGTTGTATGAAACTGGAGGAGCATAACGAGCGACCATCCTGGAAGATATGAAAGAAATAGAGCGTGAGTAATTTTGTAACAAAAGATGAGTCGGTTAATAGCTAGAGTTAAGATCAAAACTTACGAGCATATCATAAGCAAGTTGACTGAACTTGTTTGCCTGGGCGTTAATGAGTAAAACATCAACATACCGATTTTGAACAAGGAGTAATACGTGCAGACGCACATATACATCAAAGGAACAAAGGCAAATACCTGGGGTAAAGTTGAGTCAAAAAATTTACATCAGCAACCAGTAGAGTAATAAAAAGAAAGTAAGAGCATGCTTTCAAATATGGAGACCCATTTACATAAAAAGATCAATGCACATCTAATCATTTATATGTGCAACTATTCACAGGGATGTGGACTCATATGGATCCAATGAACATAATGCAGATAGCTTTGTTCAATTTTTCCTTTTAAACAATATGTTGGCGTCAGCAATAAAACCTGGGTGAGAAATATCAACCTTCACAAACTGACAGAGCTTTTCCTCATACACCGATTGCAAAATGCCCAAAAAACATAAAGACTACAACTTACTAAAATAACTATGACCCACCTGCACAAGAACTTCTTGCTTAGAAACAGAATTTATGAGAATTGAAAAGAGAGATAGGTCAACTCGAGGAAGCAGAGTTGCCTCTGCTAAAAGAATAGCAGCTGAAATGATCCCAAGTATGACAGCCAAAAGTTTTTCAACTTCTTTTCTTAGTATGCAGCGCCAAAAGAATTCTGCAAAGGGCAAGAATTAATTTTCATGTCAGTTTAGGTCTCAAATTTTAATATTCACAGAAAATCAAGCTACAATCTAAGATTAAAGTTTAATTATCAATACTATAACGTTGAGTTTTGAGAAGCCATATATAAATTAACACATCATGCTCATACTTCCTCAGTACAATAAAACATTGTGTGTCTATCTAAAGTGTGCTTTTATAGACCAATAGAAGACAAAGTAAAGTGTTGTCTTCAGATACGATTTAGGTGAAAGCATACAGGCCCCTCAATGCAACTAAACAAAACAACCTGACATTTATAGGACAGAAGTGCAAACTGCTAAGTACTCAAAATTTAAATACAAGTGAATTTATAGATCTGAATTTTACCTATTGTATCAAGGATAGATCCTAATCTGCCAGTTCGAGAAGGTCTGAAGGTTGAAACATATTTCCTGAAATGGTATAATGTAGTTTAAAGGTGAAGGGGTGGCGGCTAGAGATGTATGTGTGTATACATACAAATAAACATGGAAGGACTGGAATAAGAATGATGGAGAATGGCAGAATCAGAGGCTTACCATCCAGTAGAATTCCGGCGTTCGTAATTTTTTATAGTATCTTCAAGTTCTAGGGCCTCCATAACATAGGTCATATACTCACTGCAAAACTAATGGTAAATTTTAGATACTACAAACCAAACCATCATAATTACAAACCCAGAAAAATACTAAATGTGAAGGTGAAAATAGTATTTCAATGTGGATCCCATAATCATAATCAAAACTTAAATCCCATAGTATTATTAGAAAAATCATACACGTTTAGCTGACACAGTAAACAGTAATCAGTCTATATAAATTACCAGTAATAAGCAATTATATAGACTGATTCCATGAACGTACATCCAACAGAAAACAGTACACAAACGTTCATTTACTTCTCGATTTATAACACAAAACTTCAACATGGAAGCATTAACAACAGAGCAGCACTAGAAAGGATAAATTAGAGAAAACAAAAATTTCTTCCCTTAGTTAGCAACCTCATTGATTAGGCATTGCCGCATAGACTGAATTAAAATGAATCAAATGATTCAAACAAATAGTTTTACCATTAATTTAGAACTAAATCAAGCCAAAAGTTAAGTTCTAATACAATATGTTCACACAAACTGACACACATAAGAAAGTTATGTTCTAATACTATATGCAAATAACATACATTTTTAAAGGTCAACTAGGAGGATAAACCATAGAGTATTATTCAAGCATCAACAAACACCCATCCAAAGGGAATTTGCAACCTATGGTAGCATGTAGTTCCTGATCACTTAAAAAGATAATCCAGAGCCAAGACCACAGATACAGAAAATACAAAATGCCTACAGCGCAAATAATATTTAGGCATGAATAAATGCAAAAAAATTTCAGTGAATAGAATGCATATGATGAACATATAGGCAATGCATTCAACTAAGAAGTTTACCTTTTGTACCGATAATACTCTTCCCGGGCACCTCGAAGATGACGCCTAAGCGTTGCCATTGATTTTTCATCAGTATCATAGTCCATATCATTTTCACCTAATCGGCCCCCTTGGGGTTTGAAGGATGGATCCTCCTTGAACTGGTATAAGAGAAGATTCAATATATTACCAAGAGAACCATTACAGAACTAGTTAAGATCAATTATTTTTCTTTCAATTCTTTAAATCAGTAAACAAATACCATTTGAGCTAACAAATTGTCTATAATATCCATGTAGGGTCTCAAAGGATCACGCTTGGACATCTGAGTGGATGTTGCTTGGGCGACCTAATGAAGAAACCAAAATGTATAAATATAAATAAATAATACATAAAACAAGTTAGATACAAGTACAACCATGCTGTCAGACAAGGATGAAAATATCGGCAATACAGATATTATCGGGCCTTAAATTTACAGATATTTCGGGGGATATATCGATGTCGTTTTAGGTATCAGGGAAAATTGACAAAAAAGAAAGATATTGGCTTAAAAACACTGAATTTTGAAGTGAAACTTTCATAGATGTTAAGCACATTATTAATGAATGTATTGAACAAATAAAATTCAAAATATACTAAGTATAAGATATCCTATGATGAAATCTACGTGTACATAATGTGCAATGAAATCCACGTGTATATAATGTGCGATGAAAATCCTGAAAATAAATACAATTAGACTTAACACAACAAAGACAACATTATTCAAACATAACCCAACCCAACCGATTAGTACATAACCCAACATTATATTACAAGAGTTAGACTTAATGACAAAGGAAATGAGAGATAGAAAATTAGGTGAAAAATAAAATCAAACACACAAGAAACCGAGCAACCAGAGAGAGGAGAGGAAGAGCCAAAGATAGCCGAAATGACTGAGGAGAGAAGAAAGGAGAAGCTACTAAGTATTAGAGCTTGGTTTTTGACATTGATTCAGTGGCTGGGACCTATGATTACTTTCAAAACTGAAGACAGATTTCTAGTTTATTTGTCTGGTATCGGGAAATATCGGGAAATATCTGTAAATATCGAGGATATTGGGGATATATCGCCAATAAGGGGGAAGAAAGAGGCTTACCCCTCTGTATCTGTATCGACACCTAAAAAATATCGGGATATCGGCCAATATTTTCATCCTTGCTGTGAGAAAGTGCAAAAGATAGTTCATGCTTGGTAGATGTAGAAGAAAAAAGACATTGAAGTTCATTCGAGTTTATAAGAAACATGATACAAATAAATTATAATAACTTTTCTGAAGCGAAGTAACCAAATACACACAGCCACAAAGGAAACAAGGCAAACCATGCAGCTTGTTTCCAAGTAAAGCACAAAGACATTATCAATATTGCATACATTCCCTGTGGTCATAGAGACATCATATGCTGGACATTCGAGCTCACACATTGCAAAAATGTCACTGTAAGTAACAACATACCCATTACTTCCTCTCCCCCAACCCCAATCTGAAAACGATCTTAAATAATCAGGTGGTGATTTTTCATGACTAAAGACTGACCGTGCCCCATTAAAAACCAAGCCAAGCCAACCCACCCACCAAAAGTTGGGTCAGGTTGAGTTGGAAATCAGGTTTAGTAAAACTTAAACTTCAAAACAAATTCTAAATGGCCCAAAATATTACAAACTTAGTAGGCCTGAAAAAAAATGCATGGCGAACACAAGCTCAAGCCAATTTTCTAGAACTGAGAGCCTTTGAGAGAGATTTGCACGACATTGATCAAGAAAATAAAAGGTTGAGTCTTCGTTTTTTAGGTGATGTGTTATCTGCTTGTAAAATTTGGCATTCAAAAAATGAGAACAAGATATCCCAGGAGAGGAAGAGAATAGTTCGGCAAAGGGAAAGTTTGAGCATAAGCAAAGTTACAGAGGAACAGTTCTGCCTTTCTCACCACCTCTTCCCAGCCCAAATGTCTCTCGTCTCAGTATGTTCCTTAAGGCAGAAACGAAGTTACAGAGATAAAGACAACTTGCAGTCATTTTCTTATCATTCTTTTAAATAGATTAAACATGTCACATCACACGTCATACTGATTGGACTGATACATTGATATCTCTTTCTTTTCCTCGTTTTGGGAAAAAAAAAATTCCTGGCCACCAATCTTTATAGGGTCGTGTGCTCTCTTATCTCAGTCTACTTCAAGATTAAGCATATAAAAGATGGATCACTTTGTTTGCCACACAAGTTTCATTCCAGGCAATTATTTTAATTCTTTGCATCTCATGTTATTTGATTATGGGAGTGATTTAATCAATGTAGAATGAATGGAAAAATGAAAAGCTACAGTCTGCTGCAAGGAAAAACAAAAGGCCAAGCACTTGGCCAAGTCAGCTTTGGAAGAAATTCAAAAGATTATTTGAATTTGGTCATTCGCATTATGTACAATATTATCAGAAAAACAAGTTTAGCACAATGGTTGATGCATTTGTGTTAATGCAACATGTGGTGATTCAAATACTGACCGAATACGAACGCCTCAAAATTTTACTTAATTCAAATTGGGTGGAGTTGGAACTTTCGGGTCAAGAAGTATTTAAAACAACACTGAACCTGTTTTATCAGGTTGAAATGGAATTGACTCGATTTCATCCAAAAATGGAAAGAAAACTGGGGCAACTGGGTCAGGTTGGCCGAAAAAATGCCTACCATCGTACTTAGATCCAAGTTACAACAAGATAAACAAACAATGAACACCAATCAGAATTTCAGAATGGACATGCAGATAGAGAAATTTTCTGCACCTTAGAAAACAAAACATGGATATCTTAAAATTGGAAATTGAAAGAGAATACTTACCACAATAGCATTTGAAAGATCTTGATGAGCGTCATCAAGTTTCACAGCCATTTTGGCAATTTTATGAGAAAGAACTTTTTGGCGGATAGTCCAATCTGAATTCTTCCAAAGGCCCTTAGGGATTTCACTCAAACCAAATCCAAGAAGAAATGCACCAGTAACAAGTCCAAAAGTATTCGAGCAGCCCATGGCAAATCCTAGAACACCTCCACCCCTGTTATTTAAGCCAAAAAAAAGAAGAAAAAAATGAGGAATGAATAGAATAGCTCAATAGCCAGGGAAAAACATAAAGTAAAAAGAATGAGCCCCTGTTAGACTGGTAGTGATATATCATCTTCCTAGCCTTCTCTACTGTGCCCATACTTAAACAGTGATGTAAGCATCCAACCTAAAGCCAATTGGCAATTGGTGGAGAGGGCCCAAAATCTTTTAAGCTCTCACGTTAGACTTCCATCTTTGTGAGATACTCTCAAGACCTTTTTCACATCTAATTGCACTACATATTGATTCCTTTTCAATTTCATCTATTGTAGCAAGAAATGATTATTTCAAAGGTTATTGGGAACAAAGAAAGACAACCCCCCTCTGGCTACCATAAAATTTGCAGAAGCTGAACACAAAGCTAGGGATCATAAGGGAAGATACAAAAACAAAGATCAGCAAGAAACTGCCAAATCTCTGAAATTCTTTCATGCATGCGAAAGACTGGGAATTAGAGCCTGGCAATGCTTTCACGCATGCTAAACACACACGGACATGTCTTGAATGTGTCAGTCCAAAGTGCGTTCTTACGTTAGACTGCGACCACATCTAATTGCTTTTATTATGCAGCATCCACTGTTTACGATCAAATCTTTATCGCATAACAGGGAGGCAGTGCCACTCAAAATAAGAATATAACAACTTATGTAATATCTCTGGACTCCTTGAAGGCAAACCTAAGAAGATACTAATATCCACATCAATATAAATCATCTTTGCAAGAGAAGGAACAAACCAATTCTTGTGCATCATGATGAGAAGAACCAATCCAAAAACGCCAATAGCTCCCAGAATTAGATAGAAAAGTAAGTTAACATGTACACTAGTCTTCAATCTCTCTGTCACAGTGAAGTCCCCAGCATCTTCAAAACCCTGAATAAGGGGCACCACAGTCCTGCTTAGAGATAACTTAGAAATATGAGAAGATTTACAAGTTAGCTGTAATATCTACACCACATTAATTTTATATCCAATCAACAGTAAATTGGAAAGGGCAGATAAACATATAATCATCATTTCACAGCTAAAAACTTAGAAATGGCGCAGCATTAATACTTCAAAACTCATTAAACAAACTCAACAAAACGGTATAATATTCACTAAGATTCCTATTTTATATATAAATATCTTCTCAAATAGAAAAACACCAGTCAGGATGGATAGAACAATTAAAAACAGAAAAGTCATTTAATGGAACTTATTCGACCAAATTTTGTTGAGCAATTGCATGCATAATACATGACTCCAATGACTAAAAATAAGGGCCTTGACGGTAATGTTAATTACCAAACTAAGATAGAGGATGATAACAGTCGGATGATATAATAACTGGAAATCTTGACATTCATGTGACGCAGCTATATACAAATATAGAAGGGGCAACTAAAAGAGTCCATGAAGTTCCATGTTGATTACCAAGTTAGTAAAAATGTACTCCAATATGACCAGCTCCAAAAGAATGAGATTCCTCCACTCTCAATATGATTTATCGTCTGCAAATGTAATAAAAGAAAAGAATCGGCAACAATCGTGAAACCAGTAATTGTTGCATGGACAAATGATTATGAACATAACAACTGGAGCTAGTAAATAAACATAACAGATAGTCTTACAGCTGATAAACATAGAAGTGGCATGTCAAACAAACAATTGTCATACTGTGTCCAATCAATGAAACTAGTTGTTCTTTTATGCCATATAAACAGAGCATTACATTATTTCAATGTTAAGAGATTAGATGCATGCCATTAACATAAAATTTAAGTCCATTTTCGGCTTACTTTCTTGTTCGAACCCAATGATACAATTTTTAACTGAAATAAAATCAGCTACCCAAATCACAAATAATAGCGGTTTTGCATTATGAGAGAAAAAAATCCCAAAAAAACTTTGGTGAGCACAACTGAGCAGCAGAGAAAATGTCCCGGTAGACGTAAACAAGCAGTTGCAAAAGTTTCTAACAATGCACCCATGAGAGAAACTGAAACAGATTACATTGTTTAAAAACTTTTTTAATTCAAAACAAAACAAAACCCTAATCGAATCAAATTCACACAACCATAAACTGAATGAAATGGCAAAAATTGTTGAAATTGCAAATGAAAAGTACCGTCCAGATGTCAGCGGGCACAATGACGATGATGGAGAGAGAACAGAACCAGGTGTACCCAACGGTGAGCAAAACATAGCGAGGGACCTCCGGGCCTGCGAAGTACTTGAGCGTAAAAAGGACCATGCCCAAGGTCAGGGGCAACGAGATCAGGTAGAAGACCCACATCTCTTGGTCTATCTAAAAAAGACGCAGTTTTGAAACGGGTCAAGCGGATCCGACGACCCGATCGCTGCAAATGGGAAGTTCGGTGAGCCACCGGGTTTGGCTTGCGCTCCGTGGCATGCGCTCAGAGAACGTTGTTGTTGTTGTTGTTCTAGTCGGAGGTCGGAGAAAGACTTGACAGAAACGCGTAAACGTGTAATTATAAGCATTTTATTTGTTTTGGGCTTTTTCGGGCTTTTTGTAGGGGCCCAGAGACAAAGTGAGACAAACGAGTTTTGTAAGAAGAATTGAGAGATGTTATGTTTTGGTCCACAATCAAGGTCTGGATTTGAGAGACTTGAGAGAGTTTTTACACTTGCATCTTAGGGGTGTATTCAATTAGGATTTTTAAAAGATTATTTAGTTCAATTAGGATTTTTAAAAGATTATTTTGGACTAAATAAGTTATGTAGAATTCAATTAAGACTTTTAACTAATCTAAACAAATCTTGTGGTATTCCATTAAGACTATTAAGATTTTTAAAAGAGAGTTGCTAAATCTAGTGGTATTCAATCAAAAATTTAGACAAGTAACAAGAAGTTTTATGTTACTCAAAAACTTGATAATTTTGAAGGATTGTTTTAAATTTGAAATTGTGTGGAACTTTTTAGTATGAGGTATAAATATCAAACCCTATTTCAAATCTCACCCTAACCCATTAGATTTCACATGAGATTTTTTTTCTTCTTCTTGCTTTGTAGCCTGGATCGAGACAAGGGTCCTGAGTGATGATACTGAACCTAGTTTTGAACACAAAGGCTATTTCCACTGTGGCTACCAGTAGGTACGTAAGTCCAATAGCTTTCAAAATCTAAACCAATCTTTGCCTGGTTAGAGAGTAGAAGGTGTCGAATTTGTCCAATTTGGCCCTCCTCATCCCCAATCTTATGAAAAATCAAAATCCCAGAAGATAGGGGTGTACAAGATCTAATCCAATCCATCCAAACTGACCAATCCAATCCAATTATAATCGGTTTCTAAAATTTGACGGATTGGATTGGATCCGTAATTTTCAAAACCAACATGATTGGATCGGATAACGGATTTGCTTATGAGAATTCAATCTAGTTAATTTTATGCTTATTTTGCTCTTGTAGGTATTTGTCGTTGAAAATGTTATGAATATTTTAAGTCATTTAATGGAGTTATGTTTAATATATTATATAATCAAAACAATTTTCTCTAATATTTCATTTATATTTTAAATTTATGTCTATTAATATGTTTGATTATATTAAACATAAGGATAAAATGTTTAATATTTCATTATTGTATTTTTCTATTACAAAAACCGACCATCCAATCCAATCCTATTCAATCTAATATCAATTAGATTGGATCAGATTGGATTTAAACAACTAATATGATTGGATCAGAGTGAAAAAATCATAATCCAATCTATATTGGGTCGAATACGAATTGACGAAATTGTATTGAGCCCTTAAATATATATATATATATATGCCAAAATTTCAAACTCTAATCCCATGTATATGCCAATTGTTAATATTAATTTCTGTTGGAAACGTTATCCTGGGCACTAGGAGAGCTCTTGAGTACCACAACATTGCTCAAACTCTAATCCCATATATATATGCCAATTGTTCTGTTTATAAACATAATAAATCATTTCTGATTACCTACTCTCTTTTTTTTCCAGCTATTTTGATCACCTACTCATCGCTAGCAACTATGTTCTCTTAAAGCACCTCCACCCCAAAAAGTAAGGGCAAGGCAGATACTATTCATGTGAATAGTGTCAGCCTTGCCTTTTTTGGTTCCACCCCAAAGGGCTAGGGCAAGGGCAAACACTATTCCCTTTACTTTATTTTCAATTTTTTTTTCTATACTTAACTATTAATTTTGATAGCTTTTCAGATAATATTTTCGGTTACCACGTATCACTATTTATTATAAAATTCTCACCAAAAATTTCAGATTAAATTTTCAGATTAAATTTTTGAATTAAATTTCGGATAAAATGGCAATTATAAATATTTTACCTCATCAAAAAGATTTTGACCGCTTCGAATGTTCTTCCTTGCTTTTGTCAAGGCATTTCTTCATTTCCCTAACTCTCTATTCATAATTTTCCATCTACTAGACAAGGCCATTTCGGTCCGAATCAAACCCGATCTTTCACAAAATTCTCCATGAATTTTGCTCCACATATGAGTGAACTTCATCTCATTGCCCGTGACAGGGCAATGACTAACTTTCACCCAACACTGACACAACACAATATCTTCCTGAGTTGTCCATGTGCCTTCAGCTTTGACAGAAGAGGTCATTTGTTTTTTTTATACAAATGGAAAGTAGAAGAAAAATGTGAGTGGAAAGTAAAAAATATTGGAAGGAGAAGAGTTTGTATGAAGATTTAGTGTGGAAAGTGAATGATGTGAGTGGAAAGTAAAAAATATTGGAATGAGAAGAGTTTGTATGAAGATTTAGTGTGGAAAGTGAATAAAATTGTTAGGTATTTATAGGGAATTTTTTGGTATTTTTTTTAAAAAATTCATAAGTTTTTCGAATTTTTTTGTGACCGTCGGATTTCTGGAAAAAAAACCATCGCAACATCCAGGAAGCGCCATGTGGCGTTTTCCCGTTGAGTTCTGTCAGGGTTGCGCTCGCTGATGTCAGAACGACGTCACTGCTAGCGTCAGCGCCTTCAAGCTTGAGCCCAAGCAGGATTTGCCTGTGGGCTTGCCCTAGCTAGTGGGATCCAGGGCTTGCCCGAGCTGGATTCCTTGCGCTGGAGTCAAATTTGGGCTGGGGGAGGCATGTTGCCCTGGCAGGGCTTGTGTGCTGCACTTGCCCTTACTCATCATTTTTTTGCTAGCAACGAGTTGGTAATCGAAATTGCTTTTACATATGATGAGTGACTTAATTTTACTTATATGTAATTACATAAAGATATATCCAAGGCCAGTCATAAGCAGTCTAAGGCCCAGAGCCAAATTCTAAATTGTGCCCCTCTATAGACACACGCAACAATAAATATGTAATTTTTTAATAGAAAAGGAAGAACACTTTTGGGCTTAAACAATATCATACATTCATTTGAATCCTAGTAAATAATTTAAAAGAATATAGCATATAATTTTTCCAAATACTAGGACTAAAGACAAGAATCCACAAACCAAACGTCCAAAAGGTACAAAAATAAATTGTATACACAATAAAGAAGCTGTGAAATGCATGTAGAACTAGAAAAAAGTGAAAAAGAAAGGGCAACAAACAAAATATATAGAAAAAAAGGATAAAGCATGGATGCAAAATTTCTTTAATTTCTATTAATCATCCTCTACAATTATTATTTATATCAAAATCTCCAATGCTTACCAGAACCAAGATCAACAAAAAAGTGAAAATCAAGAATAGATAAATAATAAAATAAAATAAAAAGATGGATGGTGAATTACCAACTTCATTAAGGTATGAACTTCAGTATATGTATGTTTCTTCTACAACTATTTCACTAATTACTAAGGGCCAGTTTGGCATTGCTGTGCTGTAAAAATAATTGCTGTCAGATTTGCTGTAAGAGAAATCAGCTGTGAGAGAAAGCAGTTTGGCGTTTGGTAAAATTTTTGTTAAAATATTGTTGGTATTTATTTTATGCATAATCAAGAAATGATTGCCGCACAATTATTAAACCCAACGCCTCTTCGAAACTGATTTCTGCATAATCAGAAAATGAAAGCACCTCATTAGCTGCTTTCCCTTATAGCTTTCTCTCACAGCAATTTTTAACAATAAGTGATTTTCTCATAGTTTACCAAACGGATTGGGCTCCTCAAAATTTTTAAAAAATCACTTATCACCCCAAATAAGCAATGCCAAACTTTCACTAAGTTAATGATGAAACAAACATATTTGAATTTTTTTTTAAAAGATAGGAGAACATAGTTAACTGGTTATGAGTCTTTTAGTATTGCGAGATACACCTGTTTTTTGAGTCAAAATAAATTATTATTTTTTCATTAGAATATCCTCCTTTTACATAACTTTTTTTAGATCAAAATATCCTTCTTTACATTTTGTTTTGGGAGCCCAGAACGAACTACCCTCTCTTTCTTTCTTGCATATTTCTTCTATTCCTTCTTTTTCTTCTTGTTGTTGTCTTCTTCTTCATTCCCCTATGTGTAGTTACTAGCATCAACTTGCACCAGCTTGAGCTTCACTTTCTTTGATTGTTGCTGCATCTCTTTCTTCTTCATAGCATCTCTCATTGGCTTGTTGTTTATGCCAAAAGAAATGGTATAGGTATTAGAACATTCCTTCTACTTGCCTTTCTTGGAAAGTTGGAAGAAGGAGGTGAGATCATCTTTAGAGGAAATGAAGAACTTCTTGCATGATAGTGCTGCACGTGTGGCCTCATTGAGGTTTTCCTCAGTAATAAGCTGTTCAGTTTTTATCTCTTCGTAATTTGAGATGGCGATTTGGGATGGAAATATCTTCTTTTTTCCTAGGTAAAGGGGTGGTGAGAAGGCTAGCTAAAACACCTACCTATCGCAAGAAATTTTGGTCGCCTACTCATAAATATTTTTGCTTACGATGAATAGGTGATCAAAATTTCATATATCTAAGGCGAGCCCTGGCCTAGGTCAAGTAAGGTAGGAGCCCAGGTCCTAACAAGTAAGGGGGCACAAAAAAAAAAATCATATATTTAGAAGAAAAAAAAACCCTAAATGAGGGAAGAGGTACTTTAATGTTGCATTAAGTGTGTCTCGCAAAACAAAATGACATTTTACACTACTCTGGCTCTTTGAGCTTCACTTTCTTTGCTTTTTGCTGCATCACTTTCTTTTCCATAAGATCTCTCATCCTCTTGTTATTTATGTCAAAAGAAATGGTGTGGGTTACATAATCTTTCTTCCACTTGCCTTTATTGGTAAGTTGGAATAGGAAGATGAGATCATCTTCAGAGGAAATGAACAAATTCTTGCATGACAATGCTGCATGTATGGCCTGATTGAGGTTCTCCTTAGCAATAAGTTGTTCAGTTTTTGCCTAAATGTAATTTGAGAGGGCGATTTAGGATGAAAATATCTTTTTTTTTTGGTAAATGGGTGATGAGAAGACTAGCTGAAACACCTACCTATTGCAAACAAATTTGGTCACATACTCATCGCAAGCAATTTTGGTCACCTCCTTGTAATTTTTTTTTTGCTAACGATGAATAGGTGATCAAAATTGCATATATATATGGGAGATTCACTAATATACCCAATATAGGAGCCCAAATTATAAAAAAACCCTATATGAAATGGAATTTATAAATACACCCAAAGCTCATTTATAACATAACAAAAAGGCTTTTAACTTCTTTTAAATTACAAAATTGCCATTGATTTCTTAAAACAAACCCAACCCAAAATTTCATAAAAAAACTCAAAACACTCAATAGGGTATCAAAGTAATTTAATAATTAAAATTAAATTTAATAGTACCATTTGTCATTTTTTGGGTTTTTTTTGGGTATGTTTATAAAAATGAAATGATGTAGGGTTTATTTATAGTTTTAGTGCTAAGAATGGGTATATTACTAAATATCTCTATATATATAAGGTCGGCCCTTGCTTAGGTTGGGTAGGGCCCAGGACCCAACAATAAGTAACCCAGGGGGGGGGGCAAAGGCCAAAAAAAAAAAAAAAAAAAAAAAAAAAAAAAGGAGGAAAAAAAAATGGGGAAGAGGTACTTTAATGTTACATTAAGTGTGTCTCGCAAAACGAAATGACATTTTATGTTGCTCTAGCTCTATGAGCTTCACTTTCTTTGCTTTTATTGCATCTCATTCTTCTCCATAGCATCTCTCAACCTCTTGTTGTTTATGTCAAAAGAAATGGTGTGGGTTCCATAACCTCTTCCTTTCACTTGCCTTTCTTGGCAAGTTGGAAGAGAAAGGTGAGATCATGTTAAGAGGAAACGAAAAACTTATTGCATGACAGTGTTGCATGCGTGGCCTCATTGTTATAACAATAGTATGATTCATATCCTAATTCGGAGATAATCCCTATTTTCGAATCACATCTCTGTAATTTGAGAGGCGATTTGGGATGAAAGGCTTAAGGATGATGGTTTCATAAGGGGGCACTTTGACCGACTCTTAGGTAAGTTGACAACCTTAAGGCTGGTTAGGACGACTATTGAAAGCAAAAAGAACAAGTGGAGCCATAGATTTTTCATCATGGGAGATGTTGTTGGACTTGTTGAAATAAATAATACCAAGAATAGGTCAAGAATGAGTTATAGTCTAACCCAACCTTAGTTATCAAAATTGCTAGCAAAAAAATAATGAGTAGGTGACCAAAATTACTTGTGATGAGTAGGGCTGTCATTTTAGACCGAAAAACTGCAAATACCGACCAAGGTTTTACTGCATCTAAATCGACCTATCAAGAAAACCGACCACAACATGCGATTAATAAAACTGATCATGATATGCGGTTGCGGTTGTGGTTCCGCATATCCAAATAATGTGGTATACCGCAAACCACAATATAATTTAATTAATTATTAAAATAAGTACTTATAATTATTTTATATTAACTAACAAAGGCTAGGACTTCATCATTTAGATGAATCTCTCTCTCTCTCTCTCTCTCTCTCTCATCTTCTTCCTTTCTGTGGGACTCACCTAGGCTTTGAATGTATTAGTAATGAAGTGTATTCTCTGTCAATCTCTTGAAGTTCCCTCTATTATTGTTCTTTTTTTAAATCTCAGCCTTGAAGAAATATCAATTGAATATTTAGTGAATTAATATAACTTAATTAATAAATAATCAAACTTTTATCTAGTAAGAACTTGGATTTCAATTAGTATTGCAAACTCATTAGTTGTGTTGGTAATTTTGTTAGGTTGTTATTAGTGTATTAGTCGAGATAATCTCTAGCTTGCAATAAACTATTTAGTTTATTAATTGTGCATTAACAAGATTGTGGATTGTACTGGTTTTTAATAATAAAGTTGATTATCTCCACATATGAGTTAAAGAATCATTGTCAATGATAGAAAGTTCTACTTATTTCAGCAGTATTTTTAAGCATGAGCATACTCTTTTTTTGTTGATAGAAAGTTCTGTAATGTTAAGTTGTTTTCTATACCGAAAATTGTAGTATACCAACTGCAATATACTGACAATTGCGGTATACCGCAAAATGTCAGTCGATTCATGGTTTCATTGAAAAGTTGCAGTGACCAAACCGCAAGTGATGAGTATGTGATACAAGTAAGCATATTTCTTGTATAATCTATCTTTTGACTTTCTTTTTATCTTTGGATAATCTA